AGCTCCAGCACCCCCAGAGCCAGCGCCACCTGCGCCAGCACCTCCAGCTCCAGCACCCCCAGAGCTAGCGCCGCCTGCGCCAGCACCTCCAGCTCCAGCACCCCCAGAGCTAGCGCCCCCAGACCGAGCACCGCTAGAAGCTGCACCTCCAGCTCCAACACCAACCGAGTCCACAGGAACCTGTCGCGGAAGCGCCGAAGGCTGCTGAGGGGGCTGTGAGGAGGACTGCGGGGAGGGAGACGCTACCTGACGCGCGACCGAGGGTAGAGGGGTAGCGTGAGACACACCAGACGGGGCAGGACCAGGGGGGGGCAGGGGTACCGGAGGAGCGGGAGCAGGAGGAGGAGAGGGTGCGAGGAAAAGAGGGGGAGGGGGTACCGGGAGACCTCGACAAGGGTACCGGGTGTAGTAGGACACGGACTCGTCAAACCGGACGTCACGGGAGTCTAGGAACTGGTGGAGGGGCGGGTGGTAGAAGGACCAGTCGGCCGAGTCTACCGGGAAACCAAGGAAGACACAGGGAATGGCGCGTGCCGAGAGCTTGTCCGCAGAGGTGTCGCGGACCTGCGCAAGGCAGCCCCAGACTCGAAAGGCCGACCCGACACCAGGGGAACCAGTCCAAAGACTGGTCGGTGAAGCCTCGGGCCGCGAGACACGCGGCTGGAGGTTCAGCTGGTGTGCGGCGTAGCGAACCGCGTGGGGCCACAGAAAATGGGGCGCACGGGCATGGATCATGGACGTGCGGGCGATGTCCATGACCAAGCCTATGCGGCGCTCAGCAACCCCATTCTGCTGTGGGGACTCTGGCAGAGTCCAGGACTGGGTGATGCCCTGTTCGCCGCAGAATCCGCCGAGAATGCCGGAGCGAAACTCGCCCCCACGGTCGGAGTGGAGACAACTGACTCGACGACCACGAGTGCCCTCAGTGGCTAGAAGCCACCTGATCAGCGTAGCAGTCACCTCGGACTTCTTCGCAAGAGGGAACACTGTGGTGTACCTGGAGAAGTCGTCGACGACCACCAGAAAGTAACGCTCCCTCCCAGACCCCTGCGTCGGGGCAGGGCCCCAGACGTCCAAGTGGAGAGTCTCGAAGGGAGCGGTGGCCGGACGAAGGGAGGAGGAGTGGGGAGTGGCGCGTAAGCGACCGGCGACGCACGGAGAGCAAGGAGGGGCAAGCGAGAGAGGGAGCGACGGGAAGGTGCGTGGGAGACCTGTGACTAGTCCGTGACTGAGCATGCCACGAAGGCGAGGGATCGACGGGTGGCCAAGACGGTGGTGCCACAGAACGGTGCGGTGGGCGAGAGAGCGACAGGAGCAAGACGCAGCGACTGGACTGGACACAGCGACCGGACTGGACACGACTACCTGGCTAGACACAGCCACTGGACTGGGGACCTGGGTCGGAGGGGACGCAACAACCGGAGGGGAGGACGCGACCGGGGAGCGCTCGGTGTGGAGAACGTAGAGACCGGAGCGGGGCTCCCTGGTGAACGTGGCCAGAACAGCACCTGTGGTAGCGTCAGTACAGACTGCAGTCCGCCCACCCCCCAAGAAGGTAACCGTGATCCCCCTGTCCTGAAGGTATCCAACACCCACCAAGTTCCGAGTGAACGAGGGGATGTGGAGGCCACGCAGGACACCAGAGGGGACCACAGGGCACGGGAGGGTGGTGGAGCTACGCGCAACGGCTGGTCCAGAGGTAGGATCAGCCAGAGCCACCGACACAGGTGTGAGGAGAGGCGTAAGGGTCGTGCGGTCGCGGAAGAAACACTGAGACGCGCCCGAGTCCAGCGTGAACGAAAGAGAGGCCTCAGCCGGTGGGTCACTCGACCCAGTCGCTACACAAGCACCTAGAGCAGCAACACAAGCACCTAATCTAGACAGGCACAAGGCTACACTAGCAGGAGGCAAGCAGTCTAACCTACGAACACGCGAGCACACAGATCCATCAGCACTAGAGTCAGCATCAACATACAAAGCATATTGACGCGCATCGTCCATGGACAAAGCAAATACATCAATCTTACGGGCTAACAGACGAGACCAGCGAGGCGTGCTCGCCAAAGGGCCCCAACGAGCCCGGTAGAGGTCGTCGAGGCGGCGGAAGCACCGCGCGGCAGAGTGGTCGTCGCGACCACAGAGACAGGGGCTACCCGGCCCGGTGACGCACCAGTGAGTGCACGGGCCAGCGTCACGGCGAGGGGGGCGAGGGGCCCAGCTGGAAGTACTGCTGCTGCGGCTGGTGCTCCCAGGGCCTCCCGGACCCCACTGCGGCGGGGGACCCCAGTGCTGCTGCGGACCCCACTGCAGCGGGGGCCCCCACTGCTGGAACTGCTGCGGTGCCTGCTGCTGCTGCTGTCCCTGCTGCTGCTGCTGTCCCTGCTGCGGGTGGTGCTGCTGTGGCTGCTGCTGCTGTGGGGGAACGCCCCCACCGGTCGGGCCTCCACCTGTGGGTGGGCCTGTCTGTCCAGCACCTCCTCCAAGGCCCCCTCCCCCTGGTGCACCACCGCCGCCGCCTCCGCCGCCTTCGCCGCCTCCGCCACCACCGCCGCTCCCACCTCCACCGCCACCTCCACCGCCGCCTCCACCGCCCCCACCTCCCCCCTTTCCGCCCTTCTTGCCACTCTTGCCCCGTTTCTGCCAGTCTGCGGCAGAAACGGCAGCGGTGTCCTCAGAAACCGACACAGCAGCAGAAGCGCGGGTAGCAGTGAAAGTGGGAAGCTGAGGGGCGGCACACCCCGCAAAGAGACGGGGGGCCACCGCATCAGTGGCGGAGGCAACGGTGAGGAGGCTGCTCTCGATGGTCCCGAGAGCAGTCTGAAGGAGGTCTATAGTGAGCTCAGTGGGGTGCTTCTGAAGAAGCGCGTCGCGGGCAGTGGCAAGGCGGTCAGGGAGGCGGGTGACTAACCAGTGCACAGTGAGCCACATGGGGGGGGGGAGCAACAAGGAGCTGTGCGTCGGTACAGGCAGCACGAAAACCGGCGTCAAGCGAGCGGAGGTGAGTCACTAGGTCGGAAACAGTGGCAAACGAGCCTAGGTCGGGAAACACAAACGGCATGAGGAGGCGACTGAGGGAGGCGGAGGAGGGGGTGGAGTAGCGGGCAACAATAGCATCCCACACCCCCTTGGCTGTCTCCACCTGGTCAAAGTGGGCGGCCTCAGTCGGGGGGAGAAGCTCCGACAGTGTGAGAGCGGCGGCAGCGTCACGCGAGAGCCACACGTCCCTGGCCAGGACCCGACGGTCGTACTCCGCCTGGGCCGTAGGGGTCGGCTCCGGGGTGGTCGGCAGGGCGGCGGGGGACGGGGGGGCCTGTAGGGCACCAGACGCGTGAGCCCACAGAGTGGCGCCGTCCTGTCGCTGGCTGGTGAGGAAGCGTGTGGTCTGGCGCTGCCAGGTACCGAACTCGATTGGGCGTCCCTCCGCATCGAAACGGAGGCGACGGGCCTCCATAGCGGAGCCCATGCTAGAGGCGGCTGGAGCACGGCGGAGGCGGAGCTAAGAACGAGGAGGAGGAGGACATAGACTAGGCGTGAAATCGTGGATCGCCAGCTACAGGTGCGAGGAGCGAGGTATGAGTGGCTAAAACGGCTCTAACCTAGGTGACCGGCGAGGGAGAGCGGCTGCCAGCCGCTGAGGGATAGACCAGTGTCAGCAGATTTGGGGAGGGCCTCGCGCACAAGGCGGCGGTGGGGCTAAGGTAATGAACAGTGAGAGAGGGGAGGGGAGGGCGGTTTTGACGGTGGGAATGGGCGGGAGGTCGGTTTTGACGGTGGGAATGGGCGGGGAGGGCGGTTTCGACGGTGGGAATGGGCGGGAGGGCGGTTTGGACGGTGGGAAAGGGCGGGTGGGCGGTTTTGACGGTGGGGATGGGCGGGGGCCAGGGCGTACGGGCTAGGCGCGGGCCTGAGCGACGGGCTAGGCGCGGGCCTGGGCGACGGGCTAGGCGCGGGCCTGGGCGACGGGCTACGCGCGGGCCTGGGCGACGGGCTACGCGCGGGCCTGGGCGACGGGCTACGCGCGGGCCTGGGCGACGGTTGACGCGACGGGCAGGGGGAAGGGAGGCGACGCGACGGGCAGGGGGACGGGAGGTAACGCGACGGGGAGGGGAAGGGGAGGGCACGGAGGGGGGGTTACTAAGGGCCGCGACGTGGGGCGGGCTGAGGGCCGCGCTAAGGGGCGCGAGGGCGCTAGGAGCGCGGAGAGCGCGGAGGGCGCTAGGCGTGACGGAGGGCGCGGAGGGCGCTAGGCGCTACGGAGGGCGCGGAGGGCGCTAGGCGTGACGGAGGATCGATACCTACTCGTGATACCATCTCAAAGTCTACATGCAATGGAATAATTGGAATTAGGGTTTGCAAGCATACAAATAGGAGTCCTACAAATGTTGTACCCTTTAGGGAGTGCCTCACTGCAGCCTATCATAACATTAACATTTGACATCTAGACTCAAGATGGCTGTACGTAAGTACAACTTGGTTTTCAAGTTTACTGAGGGTGAACAGTGGACCAACTCCCGGTGGCACTTCACGCGGAATACATTTTTTTGTCGCTGGCCAATCATGCGTCAGAGTTGTGAAGGGAAGCTGCACTTTGGGTGGTAACCTGGTTTTTGGCGAGTTCATATTCAAGAATCTTGAATTTGAAAAATGCCATGTGGAACTCGGGCTTTAATACGACCAGACCTCAAGCATACCAATGTGTTTCTTCATGAAACTTCATTAGCATTTTCGTCTCTCCATCAGCAGCGCTTGTCAACCTCAAAAAGTAGGTCTAAATTTCAAATTAAAGAAGCTTCAAGAATCTAACATTACTCCTTGGCCCCCCTAGGTTAGACCAACCTTCAGACACTGGGGTGAACCCACCACAGGTGAAAGCATCAGGAGAAGCAAGAACCAACTCCTGCAGAAGATTCTTATAAGCATACGACTCTAAGCATGGCGCCTGTGCCTCAAATCCTCACCAACCACACAATATAATTCACATACCTTCTCACCGTGACAGCTTATGCAGTGACCGTTGCCGGAGCTGGAGCAGCAGCTGCGGAATCAGCAGGAGCAGCAGCAGCAGCAGCAGCAGCAGCGGCAGCAGCGGCAGCAGCGGCAGCAGCAGCAGCAGTTGCGTTCACGGCCGCAACCTGGCTGGGGTGGATGCGGCTCAAATCTACCTTTTCCACCTTCATCTCCTCAACAGGCACGTACGACGACTTAGTACGCGCCGGCGCCGCATCGATAGACGTCTCCTCCTCCCACCATGGCCCCTGGTTCTTAGCCGGGTCAAGCGTCCGCAGCGCCTTCCACACCGCGCTCTGGCACTTAAACCCGGACCCGAACCCGACCTGCCACACGCGGTCGCCGCGCCGGATGCGCCCCTGCGCCTCGAGGTACGACAGCTCGTACCAGAGCGTGGACGAGGACGTGTTTCCGAAGCGGTACAGCGCCATGCGCGACGCCTCCACCAAGTACGGCGTGAGCCCGAGGCCCTTCTCGAGCTCGTCCAGCACCGCGCGGCCGCCCGCGTGGATGCAGAAGTGCTCGAACGCGAGCTTGAGATCCGGCAGGTACGGCTTGATCTTCATGCGCAGCACCTTGCGCGCGATCAGGTTCGCGACGAATAGCAGCTGCTCCGACAGCGGCAGCACGCGCGGCCCGAGCGTCGTGATGTTGGTCTTGAGCCCGGTGCTCGCGGTGTTCATCAGATCGCGCGACAGCGACACGCCCACGATCCCCCCGTCGTCCTCCTCCTGGTACACGCACCGGTACGCCGCGTCGTCCGCGCCCAGGTGCGTGCGCACCACGTGCTGCAGCTGGTACTTGGCGCGCCAGCGCTCCGACGGCTTATTGGTCAGCAGCATCACGGCGCCGCCCATGCGGAAGAGGCAGTTGGCGACCATCATGGATTTGCGCTGCCCGAGATACAGATTCTGCGTGATGTTCTCCGTCGATACGACGACAGCGTACGTGTTCTTTTGCACCTGAAGCTGGTCGCGCGCGAGCTTGATGGCGATGAGACCCGCGCTGCAGCCCATGCCGCCCAGATTGAACGACTGAATGTCCGTGCGGAACTTGAACTTGTTCACGATCATGGACGCGAGCGACGGCGTCGGGCAGAAAAGGCTGCAATTCACCACCAGCACGCCCACGTCCTTCGGGTTAACCTTGGTCTTGGCGAAGAGATCTTCCAGAATGTCGAAAATCACGATCCCGAATTCCTTCCGAGCCTCCGCCAGGCTCGGCGTCGGCGGAATGGTGAGCAGACATGCCGGCAGGCAGGTTCGGTCGCCGAGCCCGGATCGGTCGAACACCTTGGTTTGGAACGCGAGCGCGTTTTCGTCGAGGAAGCCGCAGGAGCGCGCGATGGTGAGCGCGTTGCGGATGGTGACGGTGAACGAGTCGGGGGGGCGGTAGCAGTTGAAGTCGAGAAGGTACACAGGGGTGGGGCGCGTGAGGAAGTAGACAATGCCGACAATGAGCAGGAGGAATGCTCCCACCACCACCTCCACCAGGTGCGTATCCACCAGATGCTGCGCCAAACGGATGAGATCGTCCGGCGTTACGTGCCGCTTCGCCTGCACCGCCAGGAACGCGAGCAGCGGGATAAGCAGTAGCGTGCCGCCGTGCGTCACGCAGTAGTGGTACCCGAGCTTCAGGTGCCCGAGCCTCGAAGTGACGGGCTGCTTGCTATCGCTCTCGGACGCAGGAGCGGTGTTCACGGCGCCGGAGGTCTTAGCCCGAACCGGCTTAGTCTCCGCCATCGCGTAATCCTAAACTAAAGCACGCGCGGTGCGGATAGCCAAAGGTAGGAAGGCTTTCTTGAACAGGTTGAAAGGGAAGAAGCTACCTCCGTTGATGAATACGGACTGAACCAACCCGCCAGACTAAAGACATCGGTGGGACCTAGAGAATGGATGGGGTGGGGTGGGGTGAAGCTGGAGGGACGGACACGTTTGGGGGGGTGACTGACAAATCAATCGGCGGGAAACGAGGTGGGGTGAGTGGGCACTGGCAACTGACGGACCAGATTCAACTGACACGAGATTCCTAGAGCAAGGCGGCGACTCTGCGACTTCGACAGCCGCAGAGCACGAACTCGGTTTGGAGCTTGTGGCGGAACGACGAATCACGAGGCTGGCTGCAAGGCTTGGTGCTCTGGTAGAAGCCTGAGGAATGCAGAGCCTAGAGGTGAGGTTCAGGTTTGGCGCGAAGACACCTGTCGCTTCGCGACTGCCTGCCAAAACCAGATTCGTACAGTAGTTTGGTCCAGGCTAGGGTGGCTGTAGGGTTTTCCTGCCGAACTTTTGATAGAAAACGGCTGGGAAAGTATATCCCCGCTCCTGACTTTCAGATTTCTCTCATATTCAGCCCTAGGTTTACTCAAAAAGCACCACTTTCTAGAATTTCTCTCACGCGAGGCCCAAAGTATGTTCAAAAGTGGTCCTGCGGGGCGATTTTTTCGACACGTGTCCTCTTGTTACACCATCTGACGAACTTCCACGCATGGAAAATTTGGAGGCGGGCAAACAAAATAAAACCCCTAGAGAACCAGGACACATTCGCGGGAGGGATCAACCCTAAACACCTAGCAGGTCCCGTGTTTAGGGTTGCTCCCTCCCGAAAATGTGTAATGGTCCTTTAGGGGTTTTATGTTTTTTTGTCCCGTAAAAACTTTTCCGGCGCGAAAATTGCCCTGACAAACGGTTAGTTCAGAGTGGAAGTGCGTCAGCTGGTAACAAAAGAACACGTGTCGAAAACTTCGCCCCGCAGGACCAGTTTTGAACATACTTTGGGCCTCGCGTGAGAGAAATAAAGAAAAGTGGTGCTTTTTGAGTAAACATAGGGCTAAATATGAGAAAAAACTGAAAGTCAGGAGCTGGGATAGACTTTCCCAAAACGGCTTGACTGAGGGTACAGGTGAGGTATGGCGTCACCCAACGACTGAGAGAGATCCGTTTGCTCCAGGCCAGGCGACCTCGATGTTTTTAACAATTCGCGATCTGTGCTGTGGTGAACCCGAAGCTAAGAGGCTGGTTTGGGAGGTCGCGCTGGAGGGCACAAGGCGGCACGTCGTATACCATCAGATTGGTTTCTGGTTGGTTCCCTTGTGGCTCCTTGACAAATCAACTCGAAGCACGTTCACAAAAGCCCGGGAGAGCCACGGATGCCAACCATGCTGTCAGAACAAGCCTGAACACCAGATCCTGCCATGGGGTCGAGTCCTCCGTTATGGGGAATCCCGCATGATACTGTAGTCGAGTGGCAATACAAGTGACGCAAATCGCCAAGCTTATCAAATAGACACTGCCAAAAATGCTCTTGAAGTCTGCAATTTAAATACTGTTGGAGGTGACCGAATGACCCACAAATAGCGTATCTTTTTACTTTGTTGCAACACAACCGGCCCTCTACCTTCGTGAGTATGCTTGCGTATAATCTGTTGGGCTCAATTTGGGAGCCATAACCTATCACCTGTTTGACTTGTGCAGAGCATGCAATCCAACTGTCTTGACAAATTATCCAACATATGGCAGCAAAACTGGCTACTATTTCCGCGAGGCGCCGGGAGCAGGCTGACGGATCTTATTCGGCGGTCCGTCGCCGCGGGTTCGCACCACCCGGACCACCTTCCCCGTTGGTGTGCTCGTGGCCGTGGGCTGATCTGCTCCATTGTCAGCTGGTGACGATGCAGACCTGAAAACCAGAAGCAACATACACCAATTTCAAAACGCCGTCCAGCAGCATAATGATTGTTAGCAGCCAGGAACCTAGGGGGATTGGGGTGGTGGGAAGGGGGGAGGGTGTCGAGGGGATGCAACGTATCATGGCAGACCAAACACTTACTGTTGAACGAGACGGCCTCTGGGCTTGGTGGCTCCAGTCACACTGCTTGCACCGGACTCCCTGCTCTCTGCTGCTGCCCCAGAAGCTGCCTTGGCAGGAGCAGACGATGCATCGCTGGATGACACCACCCGCCGAATCACCACCTTTCGGCCTGGAGCATGGGGGTCAGATGCGTCCCTCACAACCTGCACCCAGGGAAGTGGCAGCACCAGGTGCAATGCATTGCGTTAGTGACTACAGAAGCGGGCGAGGAATCCATGAGCATTCGAGGGGTTATCTGGAAAAGAGGTGAGGCGAGGGGGGGTAGGAAGAGAGAGAAAAATCTTGGCACCCTTTTGTTATCCCTCACCTTTCGTCGTGTGGCAACAACCGCAGCACCACTGCTGCTGCTGCCGTTGTTGGAAGAAGTGCTGGAGCTCCTGCTCATGCTGATCCCACCTCCACCTCCACCTCTCGCCGCACCCCCAGTTGCCGCAGCGGCTGTTGTGACTTTACTATCAGGCTTAGCAGCACTTGCACCCTTCGCCGCCTCCTCATCAACAGCAGCTTGCGGTTGCGGCTGCCCACTGCCTGATGCTGCTCCCCCTTCGTCTGCTGTTTCACCAGCATCACTGCTGTTGCTGTTGCTGCTGTTGCTCACAGCAGCGGCTGCGGCTCTCTGCCTCTCCAGCTCTCCTTCCAGTTCTGCAATCCGCTTGCGCATCTCAGCGGCCTTGGCGTCCACAGCCACCCCATCCACCATCACCTTACCTGGTGCCACCACCACCCCCATCACACCTCCACCAGCCGCAGTTGTTGTGCTACCAGTGCTCTCACTCCCAACCGCATTTGCTGCTGTGACTGCCCCTGACTCACTTCCCGACGATGACGCCTCTCCTTCATTGCATGATTTTATTGACACTACATCACGTGCTTTTCCGTCTTCTGTGGTAACCTGGTTCACTGCATCTGATTGCCCCATCACTGGATCACCCACTGCTTGCTCCTCCTCTTGCCTCCCCTGCCCGGTCCCTGCTTCCTCTTCACCTTTGCTCTCCCCCTCCTCCTCCTGCACTTGCGGCTCCTGTTGCTGCGGCTCCTGCATTGCCTCCTCCTGCTGTTGCCCTTGCTGCTGGTGCTCATCCGAGGCCTCACCCAATCTTCTGCCAACAGCTGCTTCTGCATCTGACAGTCCTTGCGCCCCCACTTCGCCCCCCTCCTCCCCTCCTTGCTGTTTCTTTCCGTCAGCATCACCACCACTCCCCATACCACTTCCTTCTCCGTCCTCCCCACTGCTCTTCAACTCCTCTGCAGAAGCCTCCTCACTTCCGTCCCCCTTCACCGATATTCCGCTCCTCTCTCCATCAACCTCATCCGAGGCCTCACCACTGCCCTCTCTGACATGAACCACCTCTGCTTCCACGCTCCCACACATCGCCTTCTCACCACCCGTTGCTGCCAACACAGGCTGCCTAGTCTCCTGCCCTTTCACCCCCACCATCCCACTCTCCTTCTCACTAACAACAGCCTTACCACCACTGCTCCCATTACCACCACCACCGCCGCCGCCACCGCCACTCACAACCACGTCCCTCTCCTCCCCAGCACCACCCACTGCATCCCTTGCCACCTGCCGCCTCGACATGAGCGCCTGCAGCTCGCTCACTTGCCTCTCCAAGCTCTCCTTCTCCGCTCTCAGCATCTCCATATCCCCCACCCTTGAGCTCATCACCTCCACTTCCCCCTTGAGCACCGCGTTCCGCACCCTCAGCTCCTCCACCTGCTCCATGCCCTCCTCTATCCTCCCCAGCTTCGCCACCAGCGCCAACCTCCTCTCCTCCACCCCCGCCTTCTCCGCCTTCACCTGCGCCAACTCCACCTTGAGGCTCTCGCACTCCTTCACCTTCCCTCCCAGCAGCGCTGCCTGCGCCTGCGCAGCACCTCTCTCCGCCTCCAGAGCCACCTTGGCCCTCTCCAGCCCCTCAATCACACACTGCAGCTGCCGCATCTGCGCCTCCACCTCCGCCTTCTCCCCGCTAACCCGCCGCACCTCCTGCACCAGCGCCTGCACTCTCACCGACTCCTGCTTCGCCACCTCCAGCTCCGCCAGTAGCCCAATCTCTTTCGCCTTCCACGCGTTTCTCTCCGCCTGCAACCCCGCAATCTTCCCCCCCAGCTCCTTCGCCTCGGCTGCCCACCCAGCCTCTGTATGCTGAACCTTGACCTCTGCTTGTCTCAGCTTCTCCTGGAGCTCCCGCAGTCGCTGCAGCTGGTCCGCCTTCTGCTGCTCGTCCTGCTCCTGCTGCTGCAGCGCTGCCGGCGCCACCACCTCCAGCTGCTCCTTCAGCATCAGCAGGTCTCCCTGTAGCCGCACCACTGCCGCCTCTTTCTCTGCTCGCTCGTTCTCCAGCATTTCTTCTGCCCGCACCGCCCTCGCCAGCGTCTCTTCTTTCTCCGATAGCAGCAGCTCCAGCCGCTCAAACAGCCGGCTTTCCATCTCCTTCATCTCCTCCACCTCCCTGTCTGCCTCCTCCCTCACCTCTTCCAGTTCTGCTTCCAAAGCAGCCACCTTCTCTTCTGTCTCCTGCACTTTCTGCTCCTTCTCCCTCACCAGCCCTTCCAACGCCGCTGCTCGCTCCTCTCCTCTTTCCTCCGCTTCTCTCGCTCTCTCTGCCGCCTCCCTCACTCTCTTCTCTGTCTCCTCCACTGCTTTCTCCTTCCTCCCCACCTCCTCTTGCAACCCCACCACCCTCCTCTCCCTCTCATCGCCCTCCTCCCTCAACTTCTTCACCTTCCCCTCCAACTCCCTCACAGCCTCTTCCTTCGCCCTCACCATCTCCTCCATCTCCCTCACCTTCCCCTGCATCTCCCTCACTCTCCCTTCCTTCACCTTCACCGTCTCCTCCATTTCCCTCACGTGCTCCTCCATCTCCCTCACTTTCCCCTCCATCTCCTTCACTTTCCCCTCCATCTCCCTCACTCTCCCCTCCATCTCCCTCACCCGTCCCTCCATCTCCTCCCTTTCTCGCACCGCCTGCACCATCTCAGCCACAGCTTTCGCCCTCTCCTCCTCCATCCGCCCCATCACCACCTCCAAATGCGCCACCCGTCCCACAACAGCCTCCGTCGCAGCCCTCTCCTCCCGCGCCTCCTTCTCCGCCTCACCACACCGCCTCTCCGCCTCCGCCGCTCTCCCCTCCGCCTCCCCAACTATCACCCGCGCCCGTCCCACCTCCTCCTCCGCGCCCTTCACCCTCAGCCTCGCCTCCATAACCTCTCTCCCAAGCTCCGAAATCTTCGCCTCTCGCCCCGCCTTCTCCTCCTCCAGACCCTTAAGCTCCCTCTCTGCGCGCTCTGCTCGCTGCCGCAGCACCACCACCTCGGTGGTCAGCTGTTCCACCTCCTTGGCGCGTGCTGCTGCCTCCCGCGCTGCCTTCACCTTCACGCTCGTCGCCTCCTGCAGCAGCTCCCGCAGCGACGACAGCTGCATCTCCAGCTCCTCCACTCGAAAATCCGCCGCCCGTCTCCCACTAGCTCCGCCACCACCGCCACCGCCTCCACCACCACCGCCACCACCGCCGATGGCATGAGAACCAGCACCTCCCACGCCCCTTCCTCCTCCTCCTCCGCCCCCTCCTCCTCCCCGTCCCCGCCCGGCCCCTCCTCCCCGGCCCCCGCGTGGCGACGGCAACGCAGGCGCAGCAGAAGCAGCAGCAACAGCAGCAGCAGCAGCGGCAGCAGCAGCAGCAGCGACGGCCTCCAGCCTCTTCTCCTCCGCCGCAGCCGCCTCCTCCGCAGCCACCGCAGCCGCCACCGACGCCGCAGCAGCCGCAGCCTCCGCTGCTCCCCTCGCCGCCTCCACCTGCTCTACCTTCTCCTCCAACTCCCTCACTCTCTCACTCAGCTTCACCACCATCTCCTCACTCCTCTCCCTCCTCCCCACCGCCTCCATCAGCCTCTCCTCCGCCTCGCTCCGCCTCTCCTCGCCTTCCTCGCACCGCCTCTGCCACGCGTTCACCTGCCGGACACTCATCGCGAGCTGCCTCTCCACCTCTGCTTTTTCAACTGTCAGCTGCTCTAGCTCCTTCCGCACTCCTGCCAGTAGCAAATCCACCTCCTCCTGCTGCCTCTTGCCCAGCCCACCTCCCATCCCTCCCCCTCCCCCTCCCCCTTCCCCTCCTCGCCCCTCGCTGTCGCCATCGCCTCCCGCCGCTGCCGACACAGCAGCCCCTTCCGCAGCAGCCGCCGCCGCGGCCGCTGCAGCAGCAGCCATGGCTGCCGCGCGCCGAAGCTCCTCCGCCTCCTCCTCCAGCTCCCTCACGCGCGCGTTCCGCGCCTGCAGGTCCCCTCCCAGTATCCCCGCGCGCGCAGCCTCCGCAATCGCCTCCTCCGCCCTCCTCAGATTCCCCTTCACCCTCTTCCCTTCCTCCTCCGCCGCCTCCAACTCCCCCTTAAGCCTCTCCACCTCTCTCTCCAGCTCCTCAATCCTCTCCTTCGCTCCCTCCACCCCGCCCTCCTTCCCTTCCCGCTCCCCCTCTCCCTCCTCCCCTCCCTCCCTCCGCTTCACCCCAGCAGCAGCAGCCTCAGCTTCAGCCGCCGCCGCCGCAGCAGCAGCAGCAGCCGCAGCAGCGGCAATCACCTCAGCAGCTTCACTCCCAGCCATTTCCCCTCTAAGAGCAGCCAGCTTGGCTTCCAGCAGCCGCACTCGAGCGTCCTTTGCCTCGCCCTCTCGCTGTGCCTGCGTCAGCGTCGCTGCCAGCTCCAGGCTCTCGGCTGTCAGCTCCTGCGCCTCCCTCTCCACCTCTGCTAGCTTCGCCTGGAGCGCCCTCACCTCTCCTTCTAGTGCCGCCGCCCTTGCTCCCCCTCCGCCTGCCCCACCTCCTCCTGCACTTGCTCCAGTTTCACCAGCCTTTGATCCCCCGTCACCCCCACCACCTCCTCCACTACCATCACCGCCACCATGTCCGTCCGCATCAACCGTCTCACCGCTCACCCCGCCTGCAGCAGCAGCCCCGCTACCAGCGGCACCACCACCAGCCGCGCTACCGCCAGTCCGCCCCTGCTCCATCTCGCGCAGCAGCCGTTTCAGCTCGCGGTCGCGCTGCTCGCTCACCTCGAACAGCTCCTCCGCGTCCCGACGGTACTTCCCCACGTCCCCCTCCGCCTGCTGAAGCGCGCGCAGCAGGTCCTCGTTCGCGCCCGACAGCTCCTCAACCTGCGCCTCCAGACTCTCCGTCAACCCCTTGTGGAACGCCAGGTCGCTTAGAACACACGCCAACGCCTCCCGCCCGTCCACCCCCACCACCCCCGCCGCAGCCGCGGCCACCGCGCCCAATCCCCCGGGCCCCCCCCCGATCATCCCGCCCAGCCCCACCGCGCCTCTTCCGAACCCGCCTCCTCCCCCCGCTCCCCCTCCCCCGTCATGCGGGGCCATCCCCAGGCACCCGTTCTCGCCCGCGCCCCCCGCGACGACCAGCTGGCGCAGCAGCTTCACCTCCGCGACGAGCTTGTCGCGCTCCTCGCGCAGCGCCTCCATCGCCACCTCCACCGCGCGGTCCTGCGTCATTGTCTCCGCCAGCTGCGCGCGCAGCACCTCCACCTCGCGCATCAGGTTGCGCACCGCGTGCTGGTAGTGCGTGCAGTCGCGCTGCAGCTCCTCGATGGCGGCTTCCGCCGCCGCCAGGTCCGACTCCGCGTCGCCGCTGCTCGTGTACGCGCCGCCCCCGCCCCCGCCTCCCCCGGCCGCCAGCCCCATCCCCATACCCATCCCCATGCCCATGCTACCCATACCCATACCCATGCCTCCTGCGCCCATGCCTCCCATCCCGGCGTAGTTCCCAAAATTGCCGGACCCCGCGCCTCCGCCCAGCGCATCCCCCGCCGCCCCAGGCGGGTACCCCGCGGGGAACGCGCCCGGGCCGCCACCGGGGAAGCCGTCCCCCTCTGAGAACGCGCCAGGCTGCCCCATGCCTGGGGGGGGATAGGGATACCCGGCGAACTCAGACATGTAACCGGCCACAGAGTAAGCAGCAGCACCGTCACCAGCGGCAGCAGCAGCAGCTGCAGCAGCGGCCGCCCTTTCCTCCCGCTCCTCCCGCTCCTCTGCCTCCTGCGCCCCCGCCACTCCGCCGCCCCCTTGCTGCCCCGCCACCTGCCTCTGCCCCGACTTCCCCGCACTCCAACCCGTCCGCCACAAGCCCTCCCCCATTCCCTCCCCGCCGTTCTCTCCGCCGAGCTCTCCCCCGCTTCCTCCCATTGCTCCTGTGCCGCCTGCGCCCACGTTTGCGCCTGCGCCCTTCCCTGCGTCCGCTGCAGGCGGCAGCGGAAGAGGCGGGCCCGCGAGGTACTGCCCGGGGGGAAGGGGAAGGGGCAGCGGCCCTCCTCTTCCCGCCACTGCTCCTCCTGACGCAGCCGTCTCCGTTCCCGTCGCCGCATCCGTCGCGGCCGCCTTGTGCGGCGGCAGCACGCAGCTAGCGGGCGGGGGGATATCCAGCGCGCAATCCGCGGAGCTGTCGCTGCTGCTCGAACTCGCCGCGGACCACCCCCCGCCGTACTGCACCACCACCACTCCTGCTCCCGCTGCTCCCGCTGCTGCTGCAGCCGCTCCTTGGTCTCCCGAATTCCCCGCATTCACTCCCTCACTAGCACCAGCAGCAGTCGCACCAAAACCAACAGCAGCACCAACGGCAGCAGCACCGGAACCAGCAGGACCGTCTGCAGCGCCAGCGGTGCTGCCAGCACTGCTCAGGTCGTCAGAGGACGTGTCCGCGTCGCCACTAGACGGCTGCAGCAACGCGGGCAGGCCAGACACTTCCGCCTTTCCCCTGCTCGCATCAGCACCAGCGGCGGCAGCAGGGGCAGGTGCGAGGGGTTGAACCTTCTCAGCTGCACCAGCAGCCGCTAGTGCAGGAAGAGAGGGTGCGGTGGTGGGCAGGGGAGACGGGATCAACGCAGGGGGAACGTCAGGAGGTGCAGGTATCGTCACCGCCGCTACTGCTACTGCTGCTGCCGCTGCTGCTTTTTCCGTTTTCTCACTGCCTTTTGAGTCGCCTCCGCTGCTTCCTGCTCTTCGTTTCGACCTGCTGCCGCTCCTCCTCTTTTCTCTGCCGTTGCTGCTGCTGCCGCCACCGCTGCCTGTGCTGCTCGCAGCAGTCGACACACTCGACAGGCTCGCAGACCGAGGCAGAACGACGCTTGCCTGCTGCTGCTGCTGCACCTGCTGCTGCTGCTGCTGCTCCTGCTGCTGCTCCTGCTGCGGTTTTCCAGAGGCCCAATCTTTAGAAGCAGCAGCAACAGCAGCAGCAGTTGTTGCACCACTACCGCCAGTGCCAACGGCAACAGGGCCTGCAGCTGCAGCCTTCGGTTCCCCCTTTCCTCCCTCACCACCTGTGCCTGTCCCCGCATACACTTGCACCTGTGCCTCCGTCACTGCATGCGGCTGCTTGCACACCTGTTGCTCCTTCTTCTGCCCGCCTTGGTCAACCCCTTCCTTCTCCTCCTTCTCCTTCTCCTCCTTCTCCCTCTCCTTCTCCCTCTCCTTCTCCCTCTCCTTCTCCTGCAGCTCCTGCTGCTGCTGCTGCAGGAGGGCCGGCAGCGGTTGCTGCTGCGACAGCGGCGGCACCTGCGGCTCCCTCTGCTTGTCCTTGCCATCACCGCCTGCTTTAGCCCACAGCCACCCCGCGCCCGGAATGAACCGCCCGCCTCCGCCCACCTCCATGGGTCCGCTCGCCACGTCCCTGCGCCAGTCCTGCGCGCTCTGCTTCCGAAACGCCTCCTCCTGCCGCAGAATCTCCCCCGAGTACGTCAGCAGGGGCGCCGCCGCCGCCGCGCCACCTCCCCCTCCTCCCCCGCACCCACTCCTGCTCCTCCAACCGCTCCTGCCGCTCCCGCCGCTCCTCCAGCGTGAGCGGCGGGGGACGCCAGGCCGCGGGACCTTCCAGGCGACACGGCAGCGCGCCGGCCCGACAACGACCCGCCGCTTCCGCCGCTGCTGGCGAGGCCGTGGAGGGCGTGACTGGCGGAGGAGGCGGAGGCGGAGGAGGAGGAGCGGCGGAAGAGCATGGCGGCCATGAGCATGGACGTGGGGCCCGAGGCCCCGCCGCCCGTGGTGCACGTCACGTTCGTCTGTTCCTCCTCGAATTCCCCTGCTGCCGGCAGCACTGACGCTAGCCCTGCCCGCTCGCTTCCCGCTGCTGCTGGCTGTGCCTTGAAGCTTTTTGACTCCCCCTGGAGAGGAAAGGGGAGGTGGGAAGGGAGAGGGAGTGGGAATGGCGGGAAAGGATTATTAGAGGGGTTTGGGGAATATGAGTGGGAGACGGGAGACGAGAGACGTGGATTGCGGCACGCGGTCACTTACTCTCGCGCCCGCCGCCGCGTTGCCAAAGCGGTACATGAAACTCGACTGCGCCTTGCTGCCGCCGCTGTGATGACCACCATCCCCTCGCTGCTGCCCCTGCTGCTGCTCCTGCTGCTGCTGTTGCTGCTGCTGCTGCTTCGCGTGCTCCTTGCTCGTCTGCTCCTGCCCCACTCGCTTATGCTCCTGGCTCCTCTCCCAGCCCCACCCCTGCTGCTCTCTCCGCTTCTCCCCGCTCTCCTCCCTGCGTTGCTCCCCGTGCGCCTGCGATTGCGGCTGCGATTGCGGCAGGCGAGGCGACGGCAGCGACTGCATGGAGTCGACCCTCTGGATGGGTGAAAGGGGGTGAGGAATGGGCGCCGTGTGATGAATGGCGGCGCGTGAGATCTGACGGCCAGCAAAGGGTGGCGCCTTGTGACGAATGCAAAGATTCCTACTAGCAACCCGCGAGACCCGACCACCACAAGTGCTTCACTCACCAATATGGCCTCCTTTATATTACTCTTTTAATCTCTTCGTTAAGTTAAGGATTTTCATATGTTCAACTACTAAAGCTGTCAACGCAAATCCCCAAGAGTCTTACCGTGCTTCTCAGCATCACCACGCCGCCACTACCATCTGCGCCTCCTCCGCCGCCAATCGCGGACGCCACCGCCAGTGCTGACACAGCGCCACCCCTTCCTACCGCGACTGCCGGAGCATCTTCCGCACTGGACTTATTAACTGCTGGGGGGCCATCACCGCTTCCGCTAGTCGCGGCCGCAGCGGCACTGGCGGAAGAAGCAACCGGCGCGCTTCCTTCCTTCTCCCCCGACCGCTTCTTCCTCCCCTCCCCCCCAACTCCCCCTGCTGCTGTGGTGGCGCCAGCGGCCGCTGTCGCAGGCGTCGCATGGGTGTCGGCGACGCTGTCGGCGGAGTCGTCGCCGTCCCTGGGATCCATGGGGAAGCATTGCACCGTGACCTGCGGAGGAACAGCGCCCCCGAGGAGCAGGGGTGTGTGTGAGGGGCGGCGCGTGAGAACAGGCAAGGCAACGAACGAGAGAAGAAGGCACAGATTACCTCGCGCGAGAGATTGGCAATGCTTCTAGCCCTGGATTCGTTCAAATCGGATCTGATTGGCTTTGGATATGGGTTCCGATGTGTAACGACGAGTGGGCGGCAGCAACAAGAGAGCAAGGAGTAGGAAGTGCAAGCTTCTTAAAACCAGCGGGGTGAGGTGCGCGGGGTGGAACAGGTGGGTGAAGGGCTCTGCCCGTCTCTTACATGGAGCACGGAGCCGGAGGGGCATGATCGCAGCGGCAGCGCGCGCTGGTCGAGCTGCGAATACCCGATGAACTCCGTCAGGTTCAGCGACGCCTCCCCCAGCACCGCGCCCGCCGCCTGCTCGCGCGCACCGCCACCAGGCACACGCGCGGTCAGCATGGGCGGACAGGGGGGAGGAACGGGATGGGATGGGGAAAAGGGGAGAGGGGGAGGGTGCGGAGGTAGGGGAAGGGGGAGGCGGAGGAGAAGGGCAGAGGAAGGGTGAATGGGGCCGGAAGGGACACAGAGCAGAGCGCGAGGGGGCAAAGGCGGAAGGCTTTATCCGGCGAGACGGTTGCAATGGCACGTGCACACGACCAAACAAAGTTCCCGATTAGAGTTTCCCCTACCATGTTCCGGCAAACGCGGAATAATCTCCATACGCATCCCTTCTCTCCACCATCCCCTCCCCTCCTCCCCCCCCCCCAACCCCCCACTTCTCCGCAGCCCCGGGCTCGGACTTACCGAGGACACCACGAACCGATACGCCTTGGCCTCGAACGTTTTCGTTTTGGGGTTGCGCGTGAACTTGACGACTTCCGTCACCGTTTCAGTCCACCGACAGATTCCGTTACGCACGGTAGCTGAATCCGTGTGCACGTCGGAGCGGTTGGTGTCGGTGGGTACGAGCGACACGACGAGCTGCTCGAACCCCGTGAGGGGCACCTGTCGGATGGATACCGGGTGGGACAGGTGAAGGAGATGGAGCGGGTAATGGAGGAATAAGGTCAAAATATTTTAAATCTTATTCATAAAATGAGGAGTTCAAGGGTTTAGGAAAGGCACGGAGGGGTGTCCAAGAGGCGTGGCAGGATTGGTGGAAGGAGAGGGCAGTAAAATGCAGAGCGTATAAAGAAACTGGGCACGATGCTACACGAGAATGGAATCCTGCGATAACAAGGCTGCACGACGAGCGCTATGGCGGAAGCGGAGGAGAAGGTGAGGGTGAGGGGCTACGCACCCTGGTGGCATGGAAGCGGAACCGAAACTCGAACTTCTCTTTGGTTCTCTGCGTTCTTAGACCTTTAAACATGGCTGCTCACGGTTGCCCTTGTCAGCACTCGTCCTCGACCCGATAAGTCCCCGATAAGTCCCCGCTCGTGCGCTACGGTGGCCCTCCAGTCGCGCTATCGACTACGATATGTGCCCCGGCTGAACTTAGCAGTTTTCGCGCTGCCGTCTTCGTGCTGTGCAACCTTGTCCACTAAGTGCGCAACAGCTGGTTAAGTAGTGGGTAGAAAAACTCATTGCCCCCTACCAGTAACCTAATTCTCTACTTCGCAAACCGCTTTAGAATAATAAGGCAACACCAACTGGCACCATGATCATCTGGTTCCTCTAGGGCCAGCAGGAAATTTAGGCTTGGAGGTCGTGAAACTTGAAATAGAGTTTGGCGAAGAATCTACACAGTGCAGCTTCCCTTTGCGGCGGCAATCCTGGATTATGGCGGAGTGTTTCCCAGGCCCACCACCATCACCAACGCCAGTCACTCCGTCGCTGGACAGAATCGCACCCGAATTCCTGTGCTTCTTTCCAGCCGATGAGCACAGAATCGCAGGTCCATGGAATCGAAGCGCACAAGCCACGGATGGGCTCGGGGCGCGCGTCCACTCGAAGTCCAGGGCTTGCACCCGCGAACCAAGGGTGATGGTTTGGGGACGAGATATTGCACCAGTTGTACTGATATACGCAATCTGGATCGTTGAATAAGTTTCGGAGCCCCAACGTTTGGAGCAAACACCTTGGGAGGGAGATCATTCCGCGAGAAGGACATCAGCTTTCGCACACGTTACAGCTCTCGTCAACCTCCTGTCAGTAGGTCCTGTATTCATGTCAACTGGGACTGTCCGGGCCAGAACGTGAATGTGAGAGGTTCGTGCAAATTCGGGAACGCCGGAGCGCAAACGACCTTACGTGAAGAAGCGGCTCGTTCTTGAAGCGAAACTTTCACATAACTCACATCATGCTGGAAAAACTTACCAGATGCTAGCAAAGAACTAAAAAGTACACTAGCTCATCTCCTAAACATAGATTTTCTTGTATACTCGAAACAATGCGCTTGCTTGGCCGCTGTACATGCTAATAGTGGATACGTATGTCATAATCAAACACAATGTAGAAGTTAAATATTTAATCAAATTTCCCAAATCCTTTTATTGGTTGGTACCAAAAATGATTTCTTTTTTCTGGTAAAATAAGGAAACATCTGGAACAGAAGCATTTTTGTGGTTCCAGTTGAAGTTAAGAAACAGCCGAGGCATATGGATGGACCCTGGGCAGAGTTCTCACTATGTTGTGAGCCCGTATAAGCATGTTTTTTTTTCTTATTCTTCTTGTATAAGAAACATCAGCATGCCAAATTTATTGTTGGTGGCCACAAACTTGATAAAAGGTGCTTGTATGGGGTAAACAGAATGACATGAAATGAGCTTCCTTGTAGCTACAGTGCAAACGAATACATTTGTTGTGCCTTTGATTTGGGTACATGCATGTGCACCAGCCTATGGACGACACATGCAAATCCCACGTTCAATTGGCACCTGATTGGGTTTCCTTGACTGTCCCAGGAACTTAAAGCGTGTTCAAAGTATTGCCCCAACTCGACATCGAAGTACGTCGGCGATCCTGACGGTTGGAACCGTAGATCCGAGGGTTGACATTTACCTCCACCGAACCACATGATTTCTGTACACCGAGCACCAAACCAGGCCACCACAACCACCAAACCTGGCCAAAAAGCTCTCGCCTCTGTGTGCCGCTTGTTCCGTTGTCTGGCACAGGCTCGTTCTTGTCGTGTGTTTGTAAGACCCATAAAGGAACTCGATCCGACCCGGCAGGAACCTTTTTTGCCACTTTCGGGGATTGGCTGGTGCAGTTGCCCGTTCATCTGCCCTTCTGACGTGCGTCCTTCCATGAAACCTTGCTTGTTGACCCTCTGACAACAAACAGATTACACATACAACCAAGAACTGCACAAACACACCAAGACCTGCAGATAGCTACAGAAATTGATGATTGATATCTGCCCAAGAACTTCTTTTCCAGAAACAGCTCCCTCCCTCCGCGTCCACCCGCGTCCAGCCCCACTCCTCTCTTCGTCCCCTCACTTCCCAAACCTCCCCCTCACCTCACTTCCCTCCCGCCGCTGAACGTCTGTTCACAACGCATCAAAGATCTCGGAAACCCAAGAAGCAGGTGAACGGAGCTCATCTCCACTGGTGGGCAGGCACTGCCCAAAAACCAATGAAGGTTGCGTAGGTTCATTGATGTGTTTCCATCGAACGGTATTTTCCCGCGTCACCCTACCCGACCGTTCCAGATACGCTTTAGGAAGTTGTAGAACGCAAAGCATCTCATTGAGCCGCATTTTAACCAAAAATTGGCCTGCTTGTCATCACCGCCAGCACATATTCCCAGCGGCAGCAATCAGTGACCTCGCGGTGCTCGCGAGTGCCTGCAGCGCTGCAGCAGCTGGTTTTTAATCGAGCCTAGACTGTTGCGTTGCAGGGAGTGACGCCATCGTCGATGGGAGTCACGAATAATGCCCCGCTGAATGATGCCGCGCACCACCACCTGCGGTTGCATCATTATGACATCGCGTCGCATCAGAAATAAACGTTCTCGCACCAACCGCTCACCTCCAAGCGTGTCACTTACCCGACCACGGTTGCGCCACCGCATCTCATGACTCAGCGATCCACCTCATCAGCATCATGCTCTCAAACGCCAATTAGGATCTCAACATCCTTCCTTTCTCGCCTCCGCTTCCGCCGTCCAATCCCGTCATACCAGATGCGACTCTACCAGATGCGCGACAGACGGACTGAGCCCGAGCCCGACATGTCTTGGTCGCGGAAAGCTTGTGCATGGTGCCAATTTGAGATGTCATTGGGTATAATTCGTCCTCCGCGCGGCTCGGTCCGTTGGCTGCTGCTTCTGCTGCTTGCCGTTCAAATAGCCTCTCGCCTCGCCTCTGCCCACGCTCGCGACGATGCCGCGGCCGTAGCGGGAGCGGCAGCGGCGGAGGACGCTAATGGTTGTGAAGCTGAGGATACTATTCGGGACGATGACCCCGCGGGATATCCCTGTGCGCGTACGTGCAAAGCAGCTGCGACCTACTCGAGCGCGCTCTCAGCGGACACTGTTACTAGAGATGGTGTTTCAAATGCGGTAGCCTCCTCCCCGATTGCACACAAGCACACTGGCGGTGCTGCCGCTGGTACGTGCGACGGTTCTGAAGGCGCCGCAGCAGGCGACAGCAACGCGTGCGCGTCTCCTTCAGGCCTTAGTGTGGCGGCATTAAACTCGTCGCTAACCTCGACTGCTGCGTCGCCTGATGGTTCGAGCGCGGCGGAGCTGGTGCTGTCCGCCGTCAATGCCGTGCGCGCAGCAGTGGAGGCGGAACGCGTTGCGCTCGCGCAGCTGCAGGAAACCGTGGCGGAGCAGAGCGCGCGCCTGGAGCGCATGGAGCGGCTTCTGGCGGAGCTTGCGGGGAGACGGGCGGAAGGCGAACGGCCAGGGGACTGGGGTTTGGGCGCAGGGCTGGGCGCGAGTGGAGGGGGAGTAGGTGGTTTAAGGCAAGGGGAAGGGGACACTGGCAGAGGTGATGCCGGAATACGAGGAATGGGCGGAATGGGCGGAAGGGGCGGAATGGGCGGAAGGGGCGGAATGGGCGGAATGGGCGGAGTGGGCGGAGTGAAAGACGCTGTGCCCTTCGGAAGCATGGGAGGAATTGGAGAGGGAGAGCGCATGATTAGGGCCACGGAAGGTGCTGGTGGCGCGGAATGGCGAGCGGGGGAAGCGGGGAGGAGTGAGCCGCTGACGTGGACTGGTAGCTTGGAGCTGGTGGGGACTGCGGCTATGGGCGCGCGTGTCACTGCTCTGCTGGTGAGGGGGTGTGCTGCTATTACCACTGAGAACTTAGCTGCTTAGAAGTTGGCTGAGAGGGAGTTAGGGTTCGGGGAGGTGGATTTGTTGAGGTGGTGAGGTGGTGTGGGTTACTTGATGGAGTGCCTTGGTTACCATGGTGTTCCTCTCAACCGCTATCAATGTCTCATCAACCCCATTCCCGTGCTTTTTTTCTCACACCCCTATTCCCGCGCCCTCGTTCCCGCCCCTCAGCTTCTCCCGTTGGACCTGTCGTCCCCTACGGGCGGGCGACTGGTGGCAGTGGGGGACATGGCAGGCCATGTGCGCGTGTTCTCCTCCCAGGGCCACCTGCTGCTGCACCTGCACCCGCCCTCGCTGCACTCCCACGAGCACGCCCATGCGCATGAGCATGGGGAGCAAGGAGGCGGAGGAGGAGCACGAGGCGGAGGGGGAGGGGGAGGGGCAGGGGGAGCGGGGAGGGGAGGGGAGTGGGCGGTGACGGCGCTGGTGGCGGCAGCAGTGAAGCGCAACGAGACGTGGCTGGCAACAGGCCATGCGGACGGGTCCGTGTACCTTGTGCGCGTTCCCGAGCTGCAGGCTAGAGGCCGCTCTGCTGCCGGCCCTGCCACCGCCACTGCTACTGCTTCTGCTGCTGCGGCAGCGGCGGCGGCAGTGGGGGAGCACGGGGAGGTGTTGCAGGGCGGCATGCTGGCGTCGTATGCCGTGCCGGTGGTGGAGCTGCTTCCCGCTGGCGCCCTTCACGCCCTGCCTGCTGCTGCTGCTTCTGCTGTGGGACAGACGGCAGGTGCAGCAGGCGATGCACTGATCGAGCAGCAGCAGCAGCAGCGAAGGGAGCAGCTGGAGGGGCAGCAAGGCGAGCAGCAGCAGCAGGCGGGGTGGAGGGTGCCGTGGAGAGCAGTGACATGTCTGGAGGTGCACAAGTCAGGGTCGTCGCGGTACATCCTGGTGGGCAGTGCGGGGGGCGTCATTGCCGTGCTACGATCCAATGGCTCCATCTACGGCCATGCCAACATGCTGCCCGTGCAGCAGGGAGCCCGTGCAGGAGAGGCTCGCACGAAGCAGAGAGGTGGAGAGGCTGCTGCTGATGCGGCTGATGCTGCAGGCTCGGGTGCGAAAGCACAAGACAAGGGCTCTGGCAAGGGGATTCCGGACACTGGTGAAGCCACTGCTCCTTCTCCTGCTACAGCCGCTGCCGCTGCTGCTGCTACTTCCGCTGCCGGGCAGCCCAGTGTCCCCTTGGCGTTCATCCGCACACCGTCGTCGCAGCGAGTGCTCTTCCTGACGTCAGCAGGAGCAGCGTCCGTGGACCTGCTGTCGCTGACCATGCACCCCGCCACGTGCCACGGGCTCAACGGCTCCACGCTCGCCGCCTTCTCCTTTGACCCGGCCAGCCGCTCGCGCGCGTACGCAGTGACAACGCAGGGAGAGCTGGTGCTGGTGACCATTACAGGGGACACTAATTGGTTTGACTGCCGCGTGCGCTGGAGGGTGCCTGCTCTGCAGGCCATCAAGCCTGCTGCTGCTTCCCCGCCTGCTGCTGTTCCTGCTGATGCTGGTGTTAATGGCGATGTTGATGCTGATGCTGGTGCTTCTGTTGATGCTGCTGGTGATGGTGCTGGTGATGGCCGTGGTGACAGTGCCGGAAGTGCTGGTGGGAAGGGAGCGGTGGGGGAAGTTGTGGGAGTGGGGCAGGGCAAGGTGGCAGCGGTGCATGGGTATGTGTTTGTGGCAGGAGCTGGCTCGCTGCTCATCTTCAATGTCTCTGGACAGGTGGGTCGTCCACCAATGCCCCCCACCATCCTCTCCTCCCCCCCCTTTTTCCCCTCACACCATAAAATGTGGAAAGCTTTTCAGATTTTCTTTCTCTGTGCTTGAGTTTAAATGCACGCATGTAAACACCATAACCTCTTTCTCCAGTCACGTCTTTCATGCCATTCCGCCTTATCCCTGCCTCACACTCACCCATTCCCACTGTCTCCCACCTCCCTCCTACCTCCTCCGTCCCCTGCTGCAGCCATTCCGTTTCGTCTCCCCTCGCTCCAAGCCATGGGCACCAACCCTCCTCCTCACCATCCCTCTCTCCTCCGCGCTCGCCGCACTTCCGCCGCACCTCCCCTCCCTCCCGCCATCCCTCCTCACCGCCATCGCCTCCTCCGCCCTCCCTCCGCCGCTCATCGCCTCCAACAAGGAGTCGCTCCTCGCAGTGGCCTTCTCAGCCCACAACGTCGCCATCTACCGCTCGCGCCTGCCCGTCTCGTCCGCCCGCTCGCGCCGCTCCTCCTCCTTCCTCTCCACGCCCATCCTGCTCATCTTCATCTTCCTCTGCGCTGCCTGGCAGTTTGGCCGCAGGGCCAATGCTGGGTCTTCTGCGGGGGGGGAGGCACTGGGTAATCCGCACTCAGGGGAGCCAGACCCTCTTGGTGCTGCTGCCCCACATGCGCTTGGAATGGGAATGGGGATTCGGGGGCTGGAAATGGAAGGTTCTGGTGTTGCCGGCGGGGGTTTTGGTGCGAGCGGCAGTGGAAGCGGTGGTGGTGGGGCGGGTGGGAGTGCCGGGAGATTGTCAGCTGGGTCGGGGTTGTTGCTGGGCAGAAGAGCAGGTGGAGGGGCGGATGGGGAGGAGACATGGGGAATGCAGGTTGGTGGGAGAAGAGGAGCAGGTGGTGGTGTTGGTGATGGTGGTAGAGGGGAAGGAGGAGAGAGGAGAGGGGATGGGGAGGACGTGAGGGGGAACGTGGGAGGAAAAAGGCCTGAAGAAGGATCAGCAGGGATGAGGATGCATGGCTTGAGAGCAGCAGGTGGCGGTGGTGGGTTCAGGGTCCTGTCAGACGGGGGAGGGAGCGGAGGCGGGGTGGAGATTGCTGCTGGGTTGCAGAGAGGAAGTGGGGAAAGAGGGGGAGGGGTTGGGGAGAGTGGAGGGGACATGATAGGCGAGAGTAGATTGGGTTTTGATCGCGTGGGGCAGGCGAGGGGCATGGCAGCAGGAGGAGTGAGAGGGGCCAGCAGGTTAGGGCTGGGGATGGAGGAAGGAAAGGACTCCCTTCCAGCTGCCGGCACTACCGGACCATCAGCAGCAGCAGCGGCAGCAGTAGCAGCAGGTGTTGGTGCGAGTGGCGCTGGCAGTCTTGCTGGTGGTGGCGGTGGGCTAGAGGGAGCGAGCAGGCAGACATGGCTGGATGCGAGTGATGGGGGCGGGGGGCTGGTGAGCAACCGCAACAGCGACTGGGCGCCGATAGGCAGGATGAGAGCATCGGGGATCAGAGCAGCAGAGCGCTACCCCGCATCGCATCTCATGGGTGGGCGGCCAGCTCCCATGTCGGGGCGTGTGGTGGGGCACCCGGGCCCGCGGCCAGAGTACCGAGGCAGGGAGACGTACCCCCCGTCGGGTCGCAGGGATCCGTTCTATGCGCGCCGCGCGTTCCAGCCTGGTTGAAACCCTGCAGTGGGCCGTGCCCGTGCGGCCTGTGCTCTGTAACGCATGTGACAAGCTGTTTGACAAGATAGTGGCTGGGATAAGGTAGGAAGGCATGCTTGGACCACTGTAGAAGCAGCTGGTAAGTATGTTCTAGGGGTGACTGGTGGAGGGTATAGTACAGTGTGAATACACTGAGAGATCTGATATTGATTATACGGTACGATTGTTGTTGTTCTATTGGTACCGTATTGCTGTTTCTCGTAGTCGACGGTGGGCAAGAAACTGCGGAGATGGCCTGAACCTCCGTTCTCCTTAGATAAACGTAATCATCAAAGGTATTGAAAGCGGGAATCCATCTCAATATCATAGTGTGTATATATCAATACATAAGGAGACCTGAACTGACATCAGGGGGCAAAATTGTATTGCTCGCCACGATTGAAACTGGTGGCACCCATCATCCCAAATACATATACCCTCGACCATCCACAGCACGATCACCTGTTGCCCTAGATCCCACCCATAATTGGGAATCACTACATACGAACGCTGGAGCAACTAAGCAACAGAGCAACAGGTATAAGGGCGAACAGGAAGAGCAAAAGGCAACCAAGGCAAGAGTGGAGCAGACCAGGCAGAGTGAGGGTGTCACATGAGAGTGCACGCGGAGTCAAGGCATCCATTGAGTCGGACTTAAATTACACCAGGCAAGCCCAAGTGAAAGAGGACAAAATCAGGCTGAATCAGGGTGCCACATGCTTGTGCACACGTAGTCAAGCCAGCCCCTGCCTGCATCAAAGTCGGCAGGTACAGAGCCAAGCCCCTCCTTGACCATGTACTGTGCAATGTCTGCTATCAGCTGTGGCGACACCACCTGCAGGAATTCATGGTTGGAGGGGGGAGGAGGCAACGGGAGGAGTAAAAAAATTGGAGGGACAGTCAGGCGAGGGCCACCATTCAGACGAACAACACTGCCGAAGGGTTGGACTGCGTGTGTGCTTGCATGCAATGGCATGCACATATGAACAGACCATGCCGGTGCAACATCCCATTCATCCCACTCATCCCATGCACACCACACACCCCATGCATCCCACACAGCCCCTGCATCCCACACATCCCATGCATCCCACACATCCCATGCATCCCACAAACCCCATACACCCCACACATCCCATGAACCCCACACATCTCAAGCATCGCACCTTCATGTCAGAGAAGGCAGGGAAGAGCATGCCCGACGCGAGGCGGCTCTCCGGCACCTTGCTGGCAAGAGCCTCCGCAGCCTCCAGGAACACCCCGTCCGTGATGGCGCTGCAGTTGGTGAGCACAGCCGCCATGCCAATGGGCGGGAACACATACGCGTTGTTGGCCTGCGCCGGCACCAGCGTGCGCTTGTCGTGCGTGGTGAACGCAGGGAAGGGGCTGCCGCTGGCAAACACGACCGTGCCGTGCGTGTGGTGGTAGGCGTCCTGGAAGGTGCACTCGGACTTGGATGTGGGGTTGGAGAGCGGGAAGATGACCGGGTGCTCGTTGATATCCGCCATGGCTTCCAGGATCTCCGGTGTGAACGCGCCTGCGATGGTGGACACTCCGATCAGCATGGTCGGCCTGCGCATGACAGTCGAGAGGAGGAGGGAGTGGAAGACGCAGCGAATTAGCAGCCGTATTTGAGGACAGTCAAGTGTTTAACTGGGGATACGCTGTGGAGGGCTTGGAAAGCGAAAAGAAAGGAGCAAGGGAGGAGATGGGAGAGTGTGGAAGGACGAACGCAGGCACCTGGGGTCACAGAGCGAGCCGTCACATGATCAAGATACGAGACAGCAAAGGAGAGAGACAGCAAACAAGCTTACTTGTGTGTCTTGACCACGGAGAGAAGGTCCTTAAGGAACGGAATGTCATGTGCGAACGGCAGCTTGTGGTGCTGCAGGTCCTTCCTCGACTTGCACACAAGGCCCTTGGAGTCCACGAACAGGCAGTGCTGCAGTGCCTCTTCCAAAGGCATGCCGCACCGCTTCTGCATGGCCTCCGCAATCAAATGCCCGATTCCAGTGCCCGCCTCGCCTGCACCCAGGAAGAGAATCTTCTGCTGGTTGAGCTCGCCTTTCGTCACGCGCAGGGCAGACAGGATCCCAGCGAGCGTGATGCAGGCGGTGCCCTGGATGTCGTCGTTGAAGCAGCACTGCAGCCCGCGGTAGCGGTCCAGCAGGCGGAACGCGTTGGTGTTGCCGAAGTCTTCAAACTGCAGCAGGATGTGCGGCTGCCACGTGCGCACGGCCGTCATCAGCTCGTCAACCAGCGCGTCGTACTCCTCGCCGCGCAGCCGGGGCTGCTTCAAGCCCTTGTACTGCGGGTCCGCCAGCAGCGACTCGTTGTTGGTGCCCACGTCGAGGCAGATGGGCAGGCACTGGTGCGGGTCCACGCCCGCGATCACCGTGTACAGAAGGATCTTGCCCTCGCTGATGCCCATGCCGCCGTACCCCAGATCGCCCAGACCCAGGATGCGCTCGCCATCCGTCACCACTATCACGCGGATCTTCTGGTCCGGCCACGCTTTGAGCTTGTCCAGGATAGAGCCCTTGTCCGAGGGGGAGAGGAAGAGGCCGCGCGTGTTGATGGGCAGGCGCGAGTACTTTTGGCAGGCCTCGCCCACGGTGGGCGTGTACACGAAGGGAAGGATCTCCTGGGCGTTGTTCATCGTCAGCTGCCAGAACGCCTGCACGTTCTTCTCCTGTGGTGCACGACAAAGGGGGGGAGAGGGAGGGGGGACCGGGTTGGTAACGAAGTGTGGTGCTACTGGAGTCTGGAACTTGACGTTGGTGTTGTAAATCTTCGCGGTTTCATGAACTTAGGGTGAATGAGCCTGCTGTTGCTTGTTCTGTAATTATTCCCAAGCTTGTTGGAATGTGGGCTCAGAACCAAATCAAAGATGCACGTGCCATGGTTTAACAAGTACCACTGTTCCTTGAATCCATGCATCGGCACGTCTGTGCATCCTGTGTACCTGCCCTCACTGCCGTTCCCCCCTACATGCCCACTTGCATGCATTGCATCCACGGGCAGCACAGCAGCCATACCTGCAGGTTGCGGAGGAAGAGATAGCGCTGCAGGTCCGTGTACATCTCCCGCAGCTGCACCAGCTCCTCCATGTCCTCCCAGTGCACCTGCTCACACCGCACACCACACCACACCACACAAAACATACACCACACACAGCATATACGACGCACACACAGCAGCACGCCACACAGCACACACGATACACCACACATTGCACAGCACACACAGAAATCCCGTGAGGTCACTGCCTCGACCACCACACAGTTCTCGGCCAATTTTCACCTCTCCCTGCTCGCACTGACTCTCCAATAACACATCCCCCCACCCCTTCTTCCCCCATCCATTACGCAAATGACAAGCCATTGGGGGAGCTAATGGAGAAGTGCGGTCAACACCCGATGCACAATGAAGGAAGGCCAATTGAGTGGGAGCAGTGGATGTGGGAGGCAAGTTCCACAGCCACAGTGGATAGGGGAACGTGGTGGGAAAAGATGGGGCTGTGGCATTTGAAAGATTCACTGTCGATAGGGGTGTTGGGAAGCGGTGAAGTTCTCGGATAAAAGTGGGAAAAGCTTGGGCTTCTTATTATTGCTTAACAACGTCGCCTACATTTCTATACTCACAGGAGTACCAGACAAGCGAACGTGCCACGGGCCAGTACCTAAGCCAGCCGTGCGCTCTTGCCCCTCGCTCCATCTACGCTCTAAGCCACGCAACCAGCCCCTACAACGCCAGCACGCCGCACGTGCTGCGACCAACGATCCAATCACAATCGGCTGCGCGCATCCAGCGCCCTCAAACGGTTAGGCACCTCGGAAACTGGGTGGCTGGGCACTTTGATGGCGGCGGCGGCACGCGGCGTGGTGGAGCGCACGCCCGACGGGTGGTACATGGCCGCGCGCACCGCCTCCTCCCAGTTCTTCACGCCCTTGGGCGCCACGCCCAGCCCCTCCCGCACGATGAACTCCGCCGTGCGCGCCACCAGCGGCACCACAAGCGACTGCGCCGGAGGGTAGGGAGATGCGTGAGAGGGAGAAGAAGTTGGGAGGCGGGGGTGAAGAGAAGGAAATTGAATTGAGCTCGAGATGCGGAAGGGGGAAGTACTCGAAGGCTCAGAGGGTGACGACTGATTGAAACGAGGCATCTTCGAGGCTCAATTATCTTATCTCACCTTGAAGGCCGAGAAGCTTGGGAAGAGCATTCCCACGTCGAGATTGTCTTGAGGGGTGAGATCCGCCAGGTACTCCGCGGCAGCCATGAACAGGTCGTCCGTGATCTGCCGGCAGTTGGTGAGCAGAGCCGCCATTCCCACGGGCCCGAAAATGTACGCGTTATTAGCTTGAGCCGGGTACATGGTGATGCCAGAGGGGGTCTTCAAGTGCGGGAACGGGCTGCCTGACGCGAACACCACACGGCCGCCGGTCCAGTTGTAGGCGTCTCGGTACGTGCACTCGGATTTGGAGGTTGGATTGGAGAGCGGGAAGATGATGGGCCGATCGTTGATCTCTGACATGGCTTCGATGATTTCGCGCGTAAACGCACCAGCAATGGTTGACACGCCAATGAGAATTGTTGGCCTGTGAAAAATCAGTCGAATTTAACAAGAAGGCCAGAGATCCAACAATTTATAGACGGGTCAACCTTGCGAGCGGGAGGAGACAAAAACCACGGGACATAACATAATCAGCTGGGAGGGTTGCGTTTCTCACCTGTATGCCTTGACAACAGAGTAGAGGTCAGGCTGGAACGGAATGTCATGAGCAAACGGCAGCTTGTGGTGCTGCAGATCCGTTCGCGACTTGCACACAAGGCCCTTGGAGTCCACGAACAGGCAATTACGCATGGCCTCCTCGAGCGGCACGCCGCACCGCTTGTGCATTGCCTGAGCGATCAGATGCCCGATTCCCGTGCCCGCCTCGCCTGCGCCCAGGAAGACGATGCGTTGCCATTGAAGCTTTCCTCGAGTCACGCGGAGGCCGGAGAGAACGCCCGCGAGCGTGATGCAGGCGGTGCCCTGGATGTCGTCGTTGAAGCAGCACTGCAGCCCGCGGTAGCGGTCCAGCAGGCGGAACGCGTTGGTGTTGCCGAAGTCTTCAAACTGCAGCAGGATGTGCGGCTGCCACGTGCGCACGGCCGTCATCAGCTCGTCAACCAGCGCGTCGTACTCCTCGCCGCGCAGCCGGGGCTGCTTCAAGCCCTTGTACTGCGGGTCCGCCAGCAGCGACTCGTTGTTGGTGCCCACATCGAGGCAGATGGGCAGGCACTGGTGCGGGTCCACGCCCGCGATCACCGTGTACAGAAGGATCTTGCCCTCGCTGATGCCCATGCCGCCGTACCCCAGATCGCCCAGACCCAGGATGCGCTCGCCATCCGTCACCACTATCACGCGGATTTTTTTCTCAGGCCACGTCTTCAACTTCTCAAGCACTTGTCCGCGATCCGCGGGAGTGATGTAGAGACCGCGAGTGACGATCGGGAGGTGGCTGTACTTTTGACACGCCTCGCCGACAGTGGGAGTGTAGACGAAAGGAAGGATTTCTTGAGCGTTGTTAATCAGGAGGCTGTAGAAGAGCTGTTCATCCTTCTCTCTCAAGTTGCGGAGATATATGTATCGATCGAGATCTGAGTGGCACTGGCGAAGGCTTTCAAGCGCCGCGTGTTCAGCGCGTATGGCGGATCGGAGCTGCACAGGCATGTCCTTCGTCTTCAGCAGACCTTCCAGCGTGAGGTTTTGCACAAGCTTGCCATGCGGTCCTTGCGGCATCGTGTCGGTGAGTTCAGAGCTTCGACGTAGTCAGTCAGTATGGTGGAATTTTTTTATTCAAATGAAAGGGAGAAAGCGTGACACCAATTAAGACGCACAAAAGATTTGAAGGAAAAGTGCCTAGATATGCGGGCTGAACAGACCACGTGGGTGTGGCGGGAAGGCGAATCTGTTTCGTCCAGCGATGCATGGAGCGCATCACCCGATGTTCCCGTGACTGCTTTGAATCTGCCCACCAGCGATTTCCATCCTGACCACTCGCACCACAGCTGCTTCCATCATCTTTGCAGTGAGGATGAATGTGGAGGCTCGCGTCGGATTACCAAACGGTTAGGATGGGGATGGAATCTGACGACGAACCAGAGGCTGTCATAATCACCGACTTAGCCATCTGCGTTGTCGACATCCACGGCTGGCAACTGTCACATTCTTGCGTAGGTTCATCTCTACCGTCAACAAATACCCAGATTCCATTTTAGGTGAACCACCGAGCGCTACATGGACATTGGTAGAAAAATACTGTTACAATGTGGCTTCGGAGGTCGTCGGTCGACACGTGGATGGCAGGAAGTCAACCGTGGAGCCTGTCAGCGTTCTGGCGGAAAGCAGGGTAGGTGGGCTTTCGAAATACGCGCTCCGCCAGTGGTGTGGTCCACTGACACGTGCCATTTCAAGTTCTGAGTTGGCCTGGACCACAGCAACTGTTCGGGGCAAACATACACCACAAATCATTATGCGGGTGCGATTCAGTTCACCCACCTCGCTAGATCCGTTGGTGCGTTGTGTGAGGTACACTGATGGGCTTGAACAAGTCATTTGAAAACAAAAACATGTAGAGAAGCACAGCCATGCCAGTTTCTAGCTGGTGGCATGAAAATCAGCACAGCCACGGATGGACCTCTCAATGGTGGCATATGCTTCCGTAAAGTATATCATTGCCCAGAAGTTGATTTTCAACCCTTCATGATATCTACACAATCGAGCTCCTCTTCCCAGACGTGTCCTCTTCCTTTACGCCAAGAGCACACAATTCTGCCAGCCCCAACTTACCATCATTCAACACATTGGTGTTTCTCCTGTACAGTGACAATGACCTTGCCACATAACACTGTACTTCCAATGACGAACGCTGGCAAGATAGCGAAGGCCGCCATGTGCTGCTTGTGAAGCGCCCCGTGTACAACCCACTCTCGGTTCACAGCCCGCATAAAAGAAGAGCTGAAGGGCGAAAACGGTTGAACACGATAAATTCGAGCGGGCTCTGGGAATGCCCATGCCAGGGCATGAAGCGCCCACACTGCTCGAGCTAGAGCCACAAACTTTTCGGAGGAGATACCACTGCCACAGATGATTGAGTCCACCCCACCATTAACATCATTATTTCCACTGTCGCACTTGTTGGCAACATGGGAAGCGTCATCACTACCTGAGGTGTCCGTTCCCCATGTAGTTCCACTTGATGGAGAGTCTCTCTCACTGCTGTCCTCCATACTGCAACAGTCATTGCTGCTGCTCCCACTATTGCTGGTCGAATTGCTGCCAGCACTATCGCTCCTGGATAAACTGCCATCGTGCTTGCCGGCCAATGGCGAGACGGCAAGCATCGCCCCCACCAGCACATCAGCAACCCTCTCAGCCTTCCTCTCACAGAAACTCACGAACTTTGGCTCCCTCAGAGGATTCATGGGCCCTCGCCTCCAGCGCTGCACCAGGAACTTGTCATAGTTGCGCGCACACCTCTCACTGTCAGATGTGAACTCGCAGTACGCTGCTCTCTGGAACCGGTCGCACTCGAAATCCTCAAACATGACTTCGCTCACGCAGGCTGCCACCACGTCTAGCGGCTGCGGAACAAACCCAGATCCCGTACAAGACTCATCACAGCTCCCAACTGCAGCCACTGCACCGTCTGCACCGACTACAGTAGCACAAGAAGGTTTCCCTTGTGTTTCCGTAGGATCAGCAGCCACGTTCTTCTTTGTCCTCCTGTTCTCCTTCCAGCCTTGCCAGCTCACCATCCCATTGAGAAGCTGTTGTGCCACAGCCTGCATCTCCACCTTCATTTGCCCAGCAATGTCGGAGCAGTAATCCCCCAGCCGCTCCTCCACACACAGCAGTTGAGCCTCCATCTGCTGCAGCAACAACTCCCTCCGCTTCCACTGCTGACCGTTCCGTTGCTCCCCCAACATCTCTTCTGCACCATACATGCTGACCCTCTCGTACCCATGCCCTGCATGTGTTTCTGAGTCCTGCCAAACGTTGCTGTGGTCAGAGCATGTCAGCTTCCGTTGCTCCCTCACGCTCTGCCCTGTCGGCCACCACTCCCTCTGCCTGTCTCTTGCCTGTGCGCTTTCCATCCAGTCCCAGCTCTTCTCGTCTGAAAGCATCATGCGTTCTGAGCAGTCAAAAGATTCCGCCTCACTCCCAAACACCTGCACAAACTCTCTGAACCGAACCTTCCTATCAGTAAGAGCACTAGCAGGTTCGTCACACGCGGGATTCACTTCTGGACCACCGCTAACTCCCACCTCTGGTGCTTCACAGGACCCCAACGAAGTGCTGCTGCCATGCGCATCAGCATCCAAGCTCACCGCTGCATGTGTACTGAGACCACCAGCATGGTCCTCCTCCCTATCCACTTGACTACTGGCAGAATTGAGTGAGCAACAGGCATCCGATGGAGCATCTGCTGCAGCAGGGGTGGCAGAGGTAACTTCTTCTTCGACACACAGAACATCAGCACCACCATCGCAGCTGCTACCATCATCACAGTCATCATTATACTCAGGCGCTTCCACGGGATGCGCATCCAAACGAGGCACAGATTGGATTCTGGCCATTCCGCTGCTGAGACGCATCATCTCCATCTGCACCATTCCTGCTGTCACTCGTTTCCTTGCGTCCAGAAGACGCTCTCCCAGCACCACCACCTCTCTCTCTAACTCCGCCACTCGTGCTTGGCTCTCCTGCAATTTCTGCTGCAACCACTCCACGTTCCCTTGACCTATTGTCCACTCCTCGTCTTTGTGCGTGCCAACATCAGCGCCAGCCTCTGCCTTGTCCGTAACTCGGCCATCCATGCTGCCCCCCTCCTTGCTCTCCTTCTCATCCTCCATCAGTGGATCCTCTTCACTCGCGTGCCCTTCACATCCTGGTGCGCCAGCCTCAGCCCCGTGCCTTCCATCCACATCCCTGCCCTCGTCAGCAGTATCCACACCACTTTGCTGGCAGTCAGCCTTGTCACCCCACACGCTTGATGCCTCATTGGCCATTGCCGCCTTGGCTCCAGATGCCTCCTCCAGCAAAGCTCGCAGCTGCTGCAGCTCCTCTGAGTGCTCTCGCATCAGCCGGGCAAGCGACGCCTTGAGGGCGTCAATGGCAGCCTCAAACTCCTCCCTCTCCATGCGCATATCCTCCCGTGATGCAGCCATCTCCGCCTTCAGCGCAGAAACTTCAAGCTCCAGTTGCTCCGCTCGTTCCCGCTCGCTCGCCCACTTGATTTTGACCGCTGCAAGAGAGCTCGCAGAACTAGGCTCGGTACTGTCCGCGCAGGCGGGTTCAGCGGCAAAAGGATCAGTGGTGTGGAGTGATGTTGCGCAACGAGATGGTGAGAGCGGTGGTGATGCTGATTCCGTTACGGAAACTGGGGAGAGTAGGGATGAAGGTGAGTAGGAGGATGGCGAAAAGGATGAAGACAACGGTGCAGACGCCACAGACAGAGGAAACGCTTGCCAGGACCAACTCATTGATGATGTAGACGTCACTATCTCACTCCCCTCGTCCACACGGTATTGTTCACCGGAGCTCTCGGCATGTGGATCACTCAATAACAGCCCCGAGATGTCAACTCCTGACTCTGCGGTCGGACATGTGGTGGTAGCAGGTAAGGGAGAGAATTGCGATGACCAGAACGATGAGAAGGACGCCCGAGGCGGTACTGAGACCTGCAGGTCGGTACGCTTCTTGCTGCTTCCTGTCGTTCCCTCAGGCAGCACGGCATGTGATGGGGTCAGAGAGGGCGCCTTGAGGATTGGAGCTGCTAGAAGGGATATGTCTGGAAGCACCTGCTTCCGTGCCTGGCCGACCCTTACGGGCTTGAACGGGGACATGGTGTGAAAGGCCTAACACAAAATTTCCGTTCTAGGGCAACAGACTGTTCCGCGATTGACGCCCGCGCCGTAGCTGACGCTGAACGCACGGCGGATGCGGAATCATTACTGACGCTTACTGGAGCTGCCTGCCTGACAACCAAAGCTGCACATAATTTCACCCGTGTGGAGCTGCCTAGTAGCCCTAGAAACGAGGAAAGCGGCTACGAAAAGGATGGCCCGATATTAGGAAGCGTGTTGAATCGGGCATTCCGTGCTATATTCCGCCCCAGGAAAAATGGCCAGCCTGGAGTGGGGCGTTCGTCGTCCCTGGAAAAGTGAGTCCCTTAGAAAGTGCATCAAGTGAATCGATCAAAAGCATGAATAGCCTTTGGAATGCCCGAAGCGATGGCCTCGTGTGAGGCTAAGGGGGCTCCGGATGATCATTACGAAATTGGCGATTCGGACCACCTGAGCTGCTTCCAGCGGACGGCTCGTGCAACCTCCAGTGTCCCCTCCCGTTACCTCAACCTCCCCGGTTTCCAGCAGCTCGCCGTAGCGCGGTTTGAGACTGCTGTTGCTGTGCACGCGTTCCGCCATGATTTCCAGGAAGAGCCGTTATACTTGCGTGTGCGGAGCGGCAGAAGGAGCAGAGCAAAATTCGGGGAAAGGAGGGGGGTGCTTCAGTTAGAACGAGGCTGTTGTTATGGGCGAACGTTTAATTATCCTGGATCGTACTTCCGCTGCATAAATACCCTGGAAATCTAAACGATATACACAAACACGCAGTACAGTAGTTGCGTTTCCTCCAGCGGAATGACAATATTCTCGCTGATTATACGGAACGGAGTTGTGCTGCTTGTAATAAGTTCCTCATGCCCAATCTGAACAAGAGGCACAGCTGGAAAGAAATACCTCCTCAACAGCTTACAAGTGTCGTCTACCTCAACGAAGTGGAGGTTTTCCGTTTCATGTGATGGCATGGCAAACATGATCACACCGCAGCGAACAAGCATGCAGTGGTCAACACAAACAACGGGAGGTGAAGTGTGACTACGTTGTACGCTTCATAGACAGGCTATCCAATCGAAACAAATTAACTAGGCGTGCCAAAAAAGATTGCTAAGAATTATTCAGGCTCCCATTTTGTAGACAACACAACGCAGACAGAAAGGTCATGGCATAATAACATGCACATTTTTTCCCAAATACATATTATTTACAGTTCGTACATAATATTGTATGCTATACTATTTCCTTTTGTATTGAACGACATATGTTGAGGCATGTGGAGTTTTATAGACATAAAACATTTGTCTCAGAATATGATTCTGAAATAAAACACCATATTAATTCTTCAGGGCATTCAGAAACATTTTGATTTGTTTTTGCAGGCAGAATGTACTATAGATGTAGTACACCCATAGTTTAATTTGAGACATATTGTTATTGAGAACACTGAACGAGGTTTGCGCGGGAGGATATCGAACCCACTTGTCAGGGATGGCAACCTCTGGGGCACATCATGTCATGTGATGGCACCGCATGTGTCAGCTTCTGTCAGAAACCGCGAATTTGAATTCTCACACTCCAACTTCCTTGTTCAGCCCCATGCTTGGCATGAGATGGGATGTACTCAAAACTGTGACCTCATTCGTTCATGACCATCCTTCTGATTTTCCTGTCTAATCTCTCTAGTTTTGCCTTTACCGCCTGCCTGACTTTCCGTTTGCCTTTCGCCTGTCCGAGTTATCATCAACTGTTGGGAGCACGCCAATGGACACTAACCCAGTTGGTCTCAGAATGCCGTTATCCAAGACCGACGGTAATGCTAGAAAGGCTGCCTTAATGGAACTTGTCAACAAAAGGAGGGAGAAAGCGGGAAAGCAACTTGCTGAGAATGTGGCCTATAGTAGGTCAAAAGTCACCTATGAGGCTGATTCTGACGAGGACGGCCCAGAAGAGTCATCTCAAGGCTCACAGTCTTCTGGAGACTCAAGGGAGGACGTTACCGAAGACACAGGAGATTCAAATCTCCTGATTGAAGGGCTGACATCATTGAAGCTAGGCAAGGACAAAGCTCGTTCGTCTAACTCATCAGGGAGTGCCGCAGCTGCATCGACAATTTCAAAGAGAGCTGCATCAAGAGGCGAGAGTGAAAGCACCAGTGGATTCAAAAGTGCATCGCAGTCTTTTGATGCTTCGAAAGGACAAGAAGAAGAAGATGAAGTGGAATCTGACTATTCTGAGATTGCCTCTGTACCTGTTGAACACCAAACAAGCTCGGCTGATCTAATCCTTGGTGACGGAAAGTTTGTTGTTCCTGGAAGAATCGCACGAGGATTGTACGAACACCAGCAGGAAGGCATAGAGTGGATGTGGGATCTGCATGAGATGAAGCGAGGAGGAATTCTTGGTGACGACATGGGCCTGGGGAAGACCCGACAGGTACATCGTGGTTGTTATCAGTTTTTAACTGGTTTTTTTTTTACTGTTATTCTTATACTAACGGTTGTTGTCAACGCTCGTGCAGATTGCCACCTTTATTGCTGGACTGTTTGAGGCCAAGCTTGCTTCGCAATTTTTACTCGTGGTCCCCGGTACACTGTTGCCTCAATGGAAACTGGAATTCTCGTCCGTCGGCATCAGCCACTGCAAAGAGTAAGTCACCCCGTGCAATCTACTTTGTAGCAGTATAATTTCAGTGACTGAACGACCTCTCTGCTGCAGGTTCACGTCATCTATCTCCGTACGGGAGAGGCCAGTTTTCCTGGAAGCGTTTTTGGAGGTGAGAGATTTCGCAGGCTTTTCATTAAAATGTTTGTTCACGTCGGTACTGACGATCTACTCATGCGTTGCAGAGAGGCGGCGTTATGCTCACAACCTACGAGATGGTCCAAAATATTCCGCCACAATGTCTGACTTGGGACTACCTGATCCTTGACGAGGTAGGTTTCCTGTTTTCTCTCGCTCTTGCATTCGATGTCGGTATAAATTTTGAAAACAATATCGCTACTTCTTCAGGGTCATCTTGCCAAGAACCCAAGCACGAAGCGTTTCCAAGCGCTGAAAGCATTAAGATTTCACCACTGCCTCATTATGACGGGAACTCCCATCCAAAATGAGCTCAAGGTCAGTATCAGATCTTGTCAAACACTTGGTGTTCCAGTTTGTTGCGCAAAACTGAAGTTCGGGCGTATGTTGCAGGAGCTGTGGGCGCTTTTTGATTTGTGCTGCTGTGGCTTACTGGGAGATTACAAGGAGTAAGTTTCATTTCCGTATGTTTCTTGCTGCTGTTTCGCTGAGGTTTGAGTCTTTAAAAATGAGATATCCGTGTCCTTGGTGTGTTTTAAGGTTTCGAGCCCAGTACGAAAAGCGCATCCTGGATGGTAGCCAGTCCAACTCATCGGGACACCAGAAGCGATGTGCGAATGAAGCCAGTGCTGTAAGTTTTGAATTGAGCATTTTTCTCCGTTACCTGATGTGCTTAGTCTGATCCCGTGCGCTCGCGTTTCAGGCTCTTCGTGAGAAGATCAGGCCATATTTTTTGAGGCGCATGAAGAAGGAAATTTTTCCAAGCCTTCTTGCAGAGGAGAACCCATCCGCTAGGCGTCATGGTTCTGCTCTTCCCAGGCTGCCACAGAAGCATGACCTGATTGTCTGGTTGAAGCTCACAAACCGTCAGGTAAAGCGGACTTATCTGGCATGTCTACATTTATTTTTACGTCTGGCAAGGCGCTCACCCATCTTGCTTTCTGCATGGCAGATTCATATGTACGAGACCTTTCTAATGTCAGACGCTGTCCGAAACGTTCTGAACAAGACCTCGTCACCACTGAATGCGATCACTGTAAGGACAGCATCCAGATTTACATTATGTAACCCAGTCTGCTGCATGCTGATGATTCGTGGTGGTTTTTTGTTGCAGGTGCTGAAGAAGATATGTGATCATCCTTGCCTTCTCTCGGAGGCTGCTCTGGAAGAAGTAAAGGAAAGCATCGAGCGTGAAAGCTCTCAGAGTGGAGGGGCTATTTCTGCCGCTGTGCAACAGTTCCTTGACGATCCAAGCATCATGGCTGACCCTGGTGCCTCGTGCAAGATTAGGATGTTCAAAGAGCTTGTTGTGAGTCCTCTACCCTCCACCTCTGCAGTTATCACTTGCCATGCTTTTCTATCTTAACGCTTTGCTTCATTTCTTTCAGGTCTCACTGGTCAATGACGGACATCGAGTTCTAGTCTTCTCGCAGACAAAGATATTGCTGAACATGGCGGAGGTAAGTATGCATCTTTTGCATTTCTTGCTTAATCCCTGTAAAGTTTTCATGGTCCATATGGCCTAAATTCGCTGTCCCGCCGACTTGGTCGCATTCCTTCCCAGAGTACCATGCGTAAGCTGCGCATTGATTATGTCCGGATTGATGGAGATACGAAGCCTGACATGCGAGAACGTCGGGTTCAGGTATTTGTGAAGCCACTATTTGATCATTGGTGCCCTTTGCAGTTTGCTTTACTAAATGGTTGTATTTTGGCAGGAGTTCCAACTCGGAGAAATTCCTGTCTTCATGCTGACCACGAAGGTTGGTGGCCTAGGACTCACACTTCATGCTGCTGATTGTGTGATCATCATGGACCCCGCTTGGAATCCGAGGTAAGTGTCT